TATCTGCTAAGCCTCAATTGCAACTTATCTCCAAAGCACAAGTGCAATTTTTTTTAAAGAACATTGATGTAACATATGTCGGCAATCTCTTAATAAACAAGGTGCAATAAGAAGTCATGTTCAGTGCAGTGAGCAGGAAATGATGAGTCCATCTCTCCTGAGGAGTTTTCCTACCTGCTTGATGTAAACGCCGGTCCTGGCAAACACGTCCACCAGCTCAGGGTGATGTCGGCTGTCCTGGTTCCCGTGGCCCAGGCTAAAATTAGTATTGCTTCCCCACATGTACACTTCTGTTGGGTCTGCAGTGAAGGAAAGATGATTACAAGAACGGCCACAACACTGTTTCTACGTGAAGATGTATTTAACTATTAGAATACTTTTGATGTTTTCCTTTTATGCAGCTAAATGAAAAGCATGTTCATTTACACTGGGAAGACAGTTTAATGTCCAAAAGTGGACGATGCAGAATGTCTCTGATGTTCTTACCAGTGTTTTTGAAGACAACATGTGCTGGTCTGTCTTTCATTGTCAGGTCCAGGACAGAGAGACCCTCCTTGTCCAGGGTGGTCAAAAGTCCACCATGCTACACATGATCAAAAAATGACAACAATAATTAAAGAGAAGATAAATGAATTTCAAAATATTAAACTTTGGAAGAAATTAGTCCAACCAACTTCTGTATTATAACATTATTCTTTTTATCATTTCTTTGCTTCTTTCACTTTCAGTTGATTTCATAATGTTTTTTTTTATTTTGTCAAATTATCTCCCAAGATTCAGAAGAGATCATAATCCATGAACACGTACCTTGACCAACGATATGAGACAGTGGATGTGTCCGTAGAAGGCACTGCGGTGCAGCGCATTCCAGCCGGACTCTTTATCCTTCAACATCAGATCGGCCCCTTTGGCGTCCAGCAGCCACTCCAGCAGAGCCTTCTTTCCCAGAGAGGCGGCCAGGTGAAGGGCCGTGCGACCGAACCCGTCGCGCAGGCTGGTTGCGTTGTGGCAGTGTGAAGCTAGGAACGCCCGAAGCTTTCCTTCGGAGCCGCTGGTTAGCGCCGCCACCACCTGGTCTGCGTGTTGCTGGGACCGGCATTTCGGTGTGCAGTCTAGAGGTGCCAGACTCATCCTGACCTCTTCCAAAAAAAAAAATGTATCCTCTGTTGTGCTTCTGTCACAGAGTCTTTCTGACAGCCCACCACCCACAATTGTAAACAAGACACGTTGCAACAAACCAATAACACTGACACTCAATTTTTGCAGAACAAAAAGAAGCTCTCGGAGGAAAGGAAAGTTTCTGAAAACGGTTGAGGTGGTTTGGAGCGCTAGAATTGTGCTTGTGTTGAGGTTCCACCGCACCCTAGCGACCCCAAGAGCCTTTTCCGTAGCTCCCTTCAGTCCACCATTTCGACCAAGGATCGAACACACACTAGGCTGCTTGTAGCATACACCGGCATGATGAATTCAATAAATACAAATCTTAACATGCGCTTCATACAAAAATGTACATCTCAAAAAATTTGCAAAAATAGTTTTTCTATCCAACCATTTACAAAAAAAAAAGGCAACAATTTCAAAAACCCCAGACCTCCACGTCCTGCAACCCAACCATCCAACTTGAGGGGAAAGGCCACCTTTCCCCCCCAAACTCACGCTCCTGGTTTTAAAACTCCATAATTGTAGAATGAACCTGGGGAGAAGAATAAAGGCACCAGTTCAAAAAAAAGACAACAAAAACTTTATGTGTGTGGAAACAACGTTTTCATTAGTGCTGCTTCAAAATCTTTTCTTGGCTCCTTTAACACCAGAAAGTCATCCTAGTGAAGCATTGAGTGTAACAAAACAGGGAAAGTGAGTAGCTTCAACATAGTCAGGATGTCAAAATGACTCAGGTAATAACAACTTTGTCCTAATTGTCAAGTTTAAAAGCTTACATCTGCTGTTTACACGTATGATGCGAAGTTACAAATGCACAACTTCAGGATGATGCAACAGGCTAAGTTAGCCGGCTAACATCAACATCAGGTTGTTTTGGTTACTAAAATATCCCAATACTGTATGCACGTAGAAGAAATCCAACTGGATAAAAGTTTATTGAATGTTACAGAGGAAATGTTCGCCGTTAATCTACCTTGCAACTAGCTATCACACAAGCTAACGGTTAGCTGCTAGCTTCTCAAATTGTTTCAGAATGTTGTCCAATTTAAAATATAGAAGCAAAGAAGCGTTCAATACAAAAAAGAAAAACACATAAAAGGGCCTTTACTGTTCTCGTTACTTCAAGTATCTAATAAACAGTGTTGCGTTAGCTTTCTTTAGGGGAACATTGCTAGCTAGTTCAATCATGCTACTGCGATAGAGGAAAGAATAGAGATAAAAATTTGGGTTTTTTCTCTTACCTTCCGCTAGATGAAGAAAAAGGAGGACATGGAGAAAGTGACTTTAGCGACGCATATGCAGGGTGTCATAATTGCAAATAAGAAACTTTAGCAGCTTTTGAAATTGTGCCCAGTTTTGACAAGGCTAAAATTCTGCAGGTTAGGTAACAACACGCACTTAATAACGAGACTTCCGATTGGTCAAAATGGAAACATGCTCATCTCCAATTGGTCCATTTTGGGGGTACGACAAGCAAGTGAAGGGTGCTGTTGCCAGATGATGTCATACGCAGTTTTTGTTTTTCATAATCTTATGCATTGATAACGCCTGAAATTATAGATAATACACTTCTAGACTTTTAAGAAGAATAGGGATTATTGCCTGAAAAAGATAGCTATAATGAATACTGTTAAATTTAACCATTATATTTCATTATTATCAATTTACTTTCAGTTTACTGTTTGTAGTTTCTTCCTTACTTAGTGTTTTTCTGGTTCAAGGCCTTGACTTTTCCTTGAAAATGCTTCAGTATGGCATTAGAATTTTCATTTAAAGCTCAATTTATTTTACGAGAAAGTGCAGTACATGTCTTTGACTCATAAATATGACGTCCCACGTGAGTGATTTATCTCAGCAAATTGAGTAATTAAATTTAAGGCGACAAACTCAGAAACTGCATTAAGAGTTGATTTATGTTCACTTTGATTATTGTGGCTTAAGGCCATCAAAAACCCCTTAACCTTCATAAAACAAATTTTAACCAAATTCAAAAGAACATTTTCCTTTTAAATTTGTGACTATATATTCATAGAAGAGTCACTAAGATACACTAAACCTGAAGCAGGAAACAATTGTTGCTGTGCTGCATCATCAGGCGTTAATTTACTTTTTCAAAAGCTCTGTTTCTCATGTACTGTTGGTTTGTCCACATATTCCTAATCACCTGTACCGCTGTCAAATTGCGCAACCGCAAGAACCTGGCACTGCACTTTGCAAAAGCAATCACACAGTTTGAGCTCGTTCACGGTTTGTCACTTTCCAAATACAAACCACTAAATGTCCCACTCGCATTTTCAGTGACAGGCCAACACAAAGTAAAAGTGGGAAGGGAATGCCAGCTAAATGGTTTTAAGACGAGTAAAATACAAGACGAGCGGCTTGTGTTTATGATTGCCCTGGTTTACCTGCTGAGTTCATCAGCTGAAAGTGAACAGTGAATGCAACAACTGCAGACATGTAAGGAAATGGCTAAGCAGGACAAGAAGAGAAAGAAGTAGCCAAGAGGCCCACAGTAGCTCAACTGAGAGAATCTGGAAAAACTACAGCTAGAATGCTTTTTAATAGATCAGAGAAAATTTTATATTTCTTCAAAACTTTCTGCAGGATGATTGCTACTACTACCATCATCTGATTCTAGTCCTCTTTAGTCCATTAAACAGCTTTTCTCACTTCTCACTGCTGCTCATAGTTGTTTCATGTTTTGTTTTTGTCACCTGAATGAAATGTGACTGATGCTAATGCTGCATTAGTGAACTACCAGTTATCTGTGGAACAGCGCATTGCCTTGCTTAATTTTGAATCGATTTAGCCCTTGCAAAACACGGCACCTTAAAATATCTACTTTGCCTGACATGCTTTTCATTTTCTAAGAAGAAAAATCTTCCGAGCGCGCTGACCTCAGTGTGAGCAGGCGATGGTGAGTGTCAAAAGTTTACGCGTCTTCTTGGAAACCATAATGTCAGGCCCGGCGGACGTTGTGGGTATCGGTTTCAGCCACAATCCAGGTGTGATGGAATTACTCAGATGGTTGTCCCATTGACCCAGGGCTAAGAATATGAGAGGGGCCAGACAGAGGTAAAAAGCTATAGGGTTACACACTGTGGATCGCCATCAGGGGGCTTCCAAATTTGATATAACAAGGAGCGGGCTCTCCATCAATATTCAAGCACAAATCCATCCACATGTAGCCTATATATGTAAACATAAGATCAGAGAATGTTTTGTAGCTTTTCAACGTTTACATTTTTATGTATGCTCTTCTGGTTCGAGTTTATGTGTTCTGCTAAATGGTGAAACCTGTATAGTCACTTTTAGCTTTTATTTGGTCAAACAGCCTTCAAAGTCTCCAAGTAAAGGTGGATGTTTCTAAAACCCTTCAAAAAGCACATGACAAAAAAGTGCAGTTTTTCTTAATCTCCGAGCTTGAGCTGCATGGATAGTTTTCTAAATCTGTTTTCCCCACCCAAAAGCTCCAGCCCAGAACCCGAGAGGGTTCATATGACTCCTCAGGGGTGACAGTATCAGTGTGAATCAGAAGATGAATGTTTTAATAACAGCCCCTCTAGCTTCTCGGTCCTTCGGGGGCCTCTTCGGGTTTATTTATTGGGGCTTTCTGTCGAACTCCACAAAACCGCCGCTGTCCCTTTAAACCTGAGCGGTTTTCCACGGAAGTTGGAGACGTGTCGGGGTAGCGCGAGGAAGACTTGGTAGAGAGTAACGCGTTTGGGGTGTTGGGAGTTTAATTGCGAGCCCCGTTCTTTCTCCACCCCTCCTGTCGGCGAGTAATGGTAGCTCCCCGTGACGGCGGCCCGGCTGCTGCAGAAAGCTGGAAGTGCGCTTGGTGGAGGGAGAGAGAGAGAGAGAGAGACAGAGAGAGGTACGCTGCACCTCTGTCTGGGAGAACAGGCGGCTTTGTCTGGAAACCCGCCGCCACAGAGTGACGTTCAGGACCGTCTTTCTTTCTGCGTTTCGCTTCATTTCTCCCGCTTCCCCAGAGCCCGGAGGATCCTCGCGCGGCTTTAAAGACGGAGAAAAAGAAAAAGAAAAAAAAAATAGCCGATGTTTGTGAAAACTGTCGAAAAGGTGCGCAGAAGTTTCTTGAGAATGTAGCCTCTTCTCACGCGCGAGTTTTTGTAGCCCCCCTCCCTCCCACTGCACGCGGCCGGTTACATGGAGGTGTTACAGGAAGCTGTTTTTAATCGGATTCAGGAGGAAAACTCTGACGAAAAACTTTGTTCCAGACAAGCGGCGACTTGTTGAAAAGCAGTTGTTTGTTTTGTTTTTTTCCCCCCTCTCTCTCCCTCCTGCGTTTACTGGTTTGTAAACGCAAAAATGCGCCCGGGGAGACCTCACAAGTCCGGTATGACGCGCCTGCTGCTGCTGCTCCTCACTCTCGCCTCGTCCTGCCGCTGCTGTCCGGACAAATGCCTGTGCTCCTCAGACACCGTGAAATGCCAAAACCAGGACTTGGTCGAGATTCCGGCTTCCTTACCGGCCAATACCAAATTCCTGTTCGTCACGGGAAACACAATCGCTCAAATAAGCGATTCCTCTTTCCCAACCCGTCTGGAAAACCTGACAGAAATGTATCTGAGTGGCAATAAGATGGAGGAGGTGCATGCAGGCGCGTTCAAAAACTTGCCAAGCCTGGTACGGCTGGACTTGAGCAGCAACGCAATCCAGAATTTCAGTGAGAGGGCTTTCCCTGATGGTGGTAAACTGCAGGTCCTCAACCTCAGCAGATCTCTTAACAATTACACCACCCTTGATTTCTTTCCCCATGCAAACCTTCCCAACCTCACCTCCCTGGACCTGTCCAACAATGACCTGCTCTTTCTGCCGGACGGCATGTTCCAGGGCCTCCCTGGCCTGGCCACCCTGAACCTCCGCAACAGCTCCCTCATTATGTTCCAGAGCGTGGAGAACGGGGCTCTGCCGGCGCTGCGTGACCTCGACCTGAGGGACAACGAGCTGAAGGATCTGTCCGCTGCCACAACGGCGGACTTCGGCCTCCGCCTCGACCTTCGCGTCCAGCTTGCAGGGAACCCGTGGCGCTGCAAGTGCTTCATCAGCGACCTGCTGGCGTGGCTGAAGAAAAACTCCACCCAGGAGGTGGTGGTGGACGTGCACGAGCTGACCTGCGCCGATCCCGAGCCCCTGAGGCACCAGCCCCTTCTGCAGGTGGAGCAGTCCCAGCTGAAGTGCTCGAACGACATGGAGAGGGTCCTGGAGACGTCGTACGTCTTCCTGGGCTTGGTGCTGGCCCTCATCGGGGTCATATTCCTGCTAGTGCTCTACTTGAACAGAAAGGGCATCAAGCGATGGATGTACAACATCCGGGACGCCTGCAGGGACCACATGGAGGGTTACCACTACCGGTACGAGATCAACTCTGACCCGCGCTTGGCCAACCTGAGCATCAACTCGGACGTGTGAGGGTGGGCAAAACGGTGGGAGGGGATGGGGGAGCATTGTCATGGACTCTGCAATTAAATGACTCAATGCTGTTCAACTTTTGCATGAAAGTCTTCCTTCTCTTGCCACCCGCCCCCCAAACTCCCAGCAAAACAACACAATGACGCCATCCAGATGCTGCATCCGTCAACGCTTTCGATCAACCTCTGCCGCATGTTTGTCGGCCGTCATGCCAACGGCGTTTCTTTTTTTTTTTTTTTTTTTTCCTGTGTTGCGTTGCATGGACGATGAATCAAGGCAATTTTTTTTTTGAGGAAACCTCCTGCAAATTGTCTTTTCACTGACCTATGAGGACAACTGAATGGAGTGCTGCAACTTTTAAGTGAAACACCACCTGTCAATTATGTCCCAATTGCGGGAGAAAGATGTTATACTGCTTGAGTTTGTCCTTTTATCTGGGATGTAAAGATGTCATATGCAGTGCAGACTATGCCTTTTTCTGGACTGATTATAGTATACATAGCATACATAGTTTATGGATTTTGTAGATTTAAGTGATTGCTCTGTTTATCTTTATTTTTTTTTTCTGTAAGGATATTTAGCTAAATAAATAATTAAAAAAAAAAACATCTGGATTGCTGGTACATGTGTGAAGCGAAGGCCTTAAAAAGAATGTGAGGCTTTGAAGGAGGATTTCGGTTGGTGGTGGGGTAAAGATGGAGATGGGGTGATGGGATGGAAGGGGGGGGAGGGAGATGCAGTTCATTCTTGAGGGGTGAATCACATGCCAAGTGCCAAATCTCGGCACCCCTCCACCCCCGTCCACCAAACTGTCAACAAGTTTAGCATCGGGTGAAAAGTGTGTGACACTCTCATCTCCAGTGTAACAGTTCTAGGTGTGATCTTCATCAACGAGCAAGTCGAAGCTCCAGCATGAACAGAGGACCCGCTCTCCTCTGGAGGAATGTAAATGAGCTGCTACCTGGATGTGCATAGGCAGCCAGCTGTTCTCTCCCGTTCAATTTGCTCCCTGCTGGGAGAATCTGATGAAAAGAAAGGGGGTTTGGAGATAATGAATATAACAACCAAGCTGCTGCAAAATTGCACGTTCCACAGATAACTTGGTTTTAGTCGTTGAAAGCCGGCGTGTAATTTCAAAGCGCTCGGTTACAGAGAAAGCGTGTGGCGTCCTGCGGGTCATGCAAATGAAAGCAAAACCGAAGTGGAGGTTCTCCTGGGGGCCCACACTGTGGTTGTAATAAAATGAGCTCAAGCGGCTTGGCTGTTTCACGTCGCTCTGTTTTAGGAGGAAGAGTGGAGGGAGGAAAAAAGTGTCTCCTATTAGTGCTTCCAACCGACTGTCGGAGGCTGTTCTTTTCATGCTGTCCAGTGCGGTGGGGATTAATAATTAATGCGTGGTATTCCTTTGAAGGCCGGGCCATGCGTGCTGCTGTCGAAGCAGTCCAAATTAATGATGTTTGTTGTGTATCTGCGCGGGAAGGCCTGTGAACTTTCCTCTGCCTTTCCCGGTGAGGGCACGGAAATAATAATTGCCGTCCTTTTCCCCTACTCCCGTTGTCTCTCCTGTCACAAAGCCGCAGCGTCCCTTACCGCGCGGCCACAGAGCGCCTGCAGCGGCGCGGGACGTGCCAGATCCTCCCTACTCTGTTGGCAACATCTGTGTGCCGCCAGCACAGTCTGACGTCGTTTGCACGTCCGTGTGCTTTCGCTAGGATGCAGTGTAAACTTTTTTTTTTTCGTACCCAATTTTTCCAATCATTAAGGACAGAGGCGACCAAAGAATATTTGAGGCCCCAAGGAATGGTTTGATTTGAGGGCCCCGTGACGAGTTAAGCCCACCAGCCTCTGTAATGCCGAAACCTTCTTTAAATTGTCCAAACTTTATGGTTTGTACTTTTTTTTTTTGCAACAGTTTAACTTATTATGACTTATGGAATGAGATTCACTTCTCCTTAATAGCAAAAAAAAAAAAAAATAGCAGTGAATTGTAATTTTCATTTAAGCTAAACAGTTTCATGACTTGAGGAGATGAATAGTCTTAAATGTAACAGGTCATTTAAGATAATTAAAGTGTACATTGTCAGATTTTTTTATTATGTTATGTTCTTATTTATTTTGTTTCTAATTCTTTTTGGGGCCCAGTGACTCTTACAAAATATTAAATATCAAAGAATATCACAGCTGCGATCAACTGCAGGTACATTACATTTATTGAACTCATAACCATATTTCTTTAAAGCAAAATACAGAGTAATATTTAAAATTGCCAGTTGACAAACACAAAACATCTTCTTGATGATATAGCCTAATCAAGTTATTTCCGATATGAAACAAGTAAGAAGATAAAGCAGAAAGAAAATAATTAACATGTGACACTAAATTGTAACAAACAAACTAGTAAGTATTATCTTTTTTTTAATTAAAAGTAGAATTTTTTCACTTAAAAAAAATCTGACTTGCATCTTATTCGGCTTAGAGGGGAAGAATAGTTCTCTTGCACTAAAAGAAACATAACACTGCACCTTCAGGCAATACAGTCAATGGCAAATTGCTAAATGACATGCAGAGTGTGATTGGTCAGTACTGTCTGTTCATAAACCTTCATTAATGACATGCAGAGTGTGATTGGTCGGTACTGTCTGTTCATAAACCTTCATTAATGACATGCAGAGTGTGATTGGTCGGTACTGTCTGTTCATAAACCTTCATTAATGACATGCAGAGTGTGATTGGTCGGCACTGTCTATTCATAAACCTTTAAACAAACCTGAAATAAAGCTAATTGTTGAATCAAGCTAGAAATGTTGAGTTTTGAAATAATGTGTCGTATCAGTGGTGCTACCCAGCAGCTTAGCGGGCATCTACCTTGGGCCGGCGTACTGTTCCCGACATTCAAAAAACAGAAAGGCTTTCTGTCCTAAATAATGGCAGCGCTTCGTCGTCTTTCCGACAAAAGGCGGAGCTTCGGGAGGGTCTCCCCCGTCATTCGTCTCTACCTTTTCCTCGTGCCGACGTTCAGCTCTGCCTGTTCAATCTGAGCTGTTCAACACTCCCAAGACAAAAGGAGGGGGGGTTACAGTTACACGGTTACGCCGCTTCGCCATATTACGGATTTTTAATTGTCGCGGGCACATAATGAAAATGCATGGCCCCCTCACTTTGCTGACGTTATTATTCCCCAAAGCGAGGCCTCCTCCACCTCTTCGCCCCACGAGGGACGCGGAGGCTGCGCGGCTGCTCCCCCAGCCGCGTGTTTCCACAGAGACAGCCAGCGAGGAGGCCTTCTCTTCATCACCTGTTCCGACCGCACAGACATATTAACAAGTGATTTTCACCCGCCAACCCTCGAGCCACGCTTGGCGGAGCAGGTATAATTACAGAGAGAGGAAAAGAGGTGAGAGAATAAATGGCTGAGTGACTGGGTGGTGGAAGAAGTGTTGGGGGTGAAATAAATGAGTGCAGGGAGAGAGCTCTCTGTTCTTCCGGCTCCATCAGCTGACTCCTTCTGCTCCTCTTAGCACAAGACCCCGAACAGCTTGGATGTCTAACTAGCCGAGCTGTAGTTGAGTCACGGTGTCAGCCGAGGACCGGGGAGGAGGTGGAGGGTCTCGGTCGGCGCCTAATAAAGGCTGGGGGTTTCTAGACGTCAGCTGGACCGACGTAGGTCCGGGTGGGTACGCAGGCGGACCCCCACCGGGACACGCTGGGCTCGGTCCATTTGTTGCCTCTTGTCTTAACATTCATAATAGCTAATAATATCTTTGGATGAATGTCTGCAGTAGATTTCTGTCAGAAACCATGCAGACAAATATTTATGTATAGGATGATATTTTTTTAAATAAAAATAAAAACAATAATGGAAGTACATATACTTCCATTAAAATGTTTTTAGATTCTAAAATCAGGATCATGGAAGAAGCACAATAACCATTAGCCCAGCATTGTTGATGCTGTACTAGTCAGTGGTACATGCTGTCAACACATATATTTAAAATTGTACAAAAATGTATACAATAATGGTTTTCCAAAAGAGAACAGCAGCAAGCGTTTGTATTCAAACAGGTCAATTGTATTTATGTAATTTTTGACTCAAAGAAGTGGGTCATAAACCATGAGCACAAAAATTAAAGCATGATGGAAAAAGACACTTGAATTTAGTCAAATACTTCCATTTTGCAAATTACAACAAAAATGTGCTTAAGTGAATGTATATTCAAATGGGAATGTAATTAATTGAGCTCTAAAATTTTTACTCATTGTGAGTTGAATTTTTTTAATTTGTTAAATTTAAGCCAGAATCAGCCTCTACTGTCATCGTACAACAACGTAAGGACATGGGTAGACAGGCGACTGAGGATATCTTAATATTAGTCAGTATAGTTAATATTTTTCTTATACGGAGTAACACCTGAATAACAAGATGGTTCATTAGTCAAGCTATCTGCTCTAGCTGAGTCTACAGTCAGCTGCAAAACCGACACAACATTTTAGCTTGTTTACCGTGGTTAGCAGTCAGCAGTTACCGTAGTAACTGTATGTGCTGCTCAGCGGAAAAATATTACCAAACGGGCACATTCGTTTAGATTTACATTACACTTCTTTCAGCAGCAACAGGTAGGGAGGGTCCCTACCTGTTGAGTTACTCTATGCTCCATACACCCTAGAGAGAAAAAACCTCAAAACAATTGGAGTTATTATGGAACTTTCTCCGATGTCACCCTAAAAGGATATTAAATAATAAAAACATCATGACCTTAAATCTTACCAGACACTACTACCCTCTTATCGCATTGGGCAATCAGAAAAAACATCTCTCCTCTAGACGTAAAAACCTTGAAATGAAAATTGTTTTAAGATCCAGTTAAAATCTCCTGGCTATGTAAATCTGACTCGTAATCTGCTCCAGATTATTTGCATCCAAGCATGAGTCTGTGAGCAACACCATACAGACATAGGCTAGCCCATCAGGTTTTCACACATATGTCTGTTGAGGCCAAAAGGTAGCAAATAGGTTCTGTAATTACCAACAGCCTACAGTATTTTAACAGCTTGATGAAGTAAATTAGATTTTTGTTGTTTTAAATATTGTCACACTTAAAGTTTTGAACCAAATGTAGCGAGTGATGACATCATATTGAAACGTAATCTTAAAACAGGCCCATAATGCTCACTTTCTGACGTTTAATGGTCAGAAAGTGAGCTCGGTTACGGTCTCTAAAATTATTTATATTTGCTAAATGCCAGAATAAATACAGAGAAAAATAAAAATCCTGTGGGGTTAAGAACAAGGCATTGAAATGGACTTTCAAGCGCACTGACTTTGTTATTTCCACATTACTTTACAACTTATTTGGCGGTGTGTTTCAAGTCATTGTCCACTTGTGCCCAAATTTTTAACATCCCTGAGTGATTTCTGGAAATGTTGCGTCAATAGTTTTTAACCAGTCATATGAAGTACACCAGTCCCTCCTGCAGCAAAACACTAACCAGAGCTTCAACTAGCACATCTTTAGACGTTTCTGCTACGTGTGATGCTCAGTCTTTCTTTCCTACAAATCCACTTCCCTTTGCATTTCTGCATCACTGTTTCAAACATCGGCC